TCTGGAGCCAAAGCCTCACGACACCAATGGGTGGAGCGTATTGAGAAACCCCGCTGAGAGCACCTGCCATGTCCAGCGGTTTCCATTGTGCACTAATCCTGATTTTGCCGGTCTTGCTCAAGGGCCACCAGTCTCGTGCCTCCGAAGTTTCCGCTGTAAGCAAGTCCCTGAGGCGCACAGACATGTGCCCAACCACAGGATCTTTCAAGAAGTCTCGCTCGTCCACAACCTTTACGGTAATCATCGAAGAATCCTTATCTGAGCAGAGGAATTCGGTACTGGATTCCCAAACCGGATTGTTCGTGTGTTTGATGATTTGCGATTTGTGAACGGGAGAAGTATCAGAACCAAGATAGACTTTCACGATAGGGTTCAGATCTCCAGAGAGCGACTTCGACGCATCAAGCTCCTTAGCTTGATGAAGAGTCAAACGAACAATGCCAACATCTAAACGGGGGTTGAATTGGGTGATCCACGTCAGAAATTTTGTACGAACTCGTTTCGGGCAATCGCTCTTGGCCGTCGACTATCTGGGGCTTGAGTACAGGATAATAAGAGGCGTCGAATCGAATCAATCCACGGTCCTTTCCATCTTTTAGGATCGGCAGTTCAACACCTTCGAAAGTAGCATCTTCAATGAGCTGGTTCATTTCAAACAGTGCGGCACCAAGGGTCGTGTTTTTCCTGCGCTCGTTGTAATCCATCACGGCAAGCACTAGCTGCTCTTGCAAAGAATTGACAATAATAAACTTGGTTTCTATCCAAGTCGGGTTGTACCTGGGCAACAATCAGTGCGGTAATAAAAGACAAGGAAAGAACACCGACGTCGAGTGCCTATATTTGGTCCTTGCGAGCTCTTGGCGGTTATTGAGACTTATGCTGACAAAGGGATCTGGTGACCCTCCGCCGATCTTACTGTACTTGAGTCCTCGAGCGGCGTGTATGGTTACCTGGATTACTCCAATTGCCGCATCCAGCGGAGCACCGGACAAGAGTTGCTCCAAATTGAGCGTGAAAACGTTCGGGTCGTACATCATGGGTCCAATACTTGCATGGACCATCTCACGGATGAACTCAGAGAGCCCAGGAATCTGCCACGGGGATTAGTATTTGAGTGAAAAGGTGCAAAATGAACAGACATGAGCGATATCGAAACCAAATGTATCACCACCAACTGGCTTGAGGACGTAGTCGAAAGCAGGCTTCTCCAAGAAGCTGAGATCGACAATTTGTATGTGAGGGAAATTAGACACTAGCTTCATTCTGACCCTCATGAGACCGCTAAAACTGATATCTTCAATCAAGATGGGCATTGCGGCAGTTGCTAGGCCTTTTCCAATCCTCACAGACAACACTATTTTAGGGTTAACCTTCTGTGCTGCTTGGCGAGGAGTCAGATCAGACACATCGTTGGGAGTAAACGAGATTTCCCAGTCCATCATGACGATGTCGTCCTCCGTGTTTGGGAAGGTCCTAACTTTCTGGATTCGGGGGGATTTTGTACCGAGGGTGAAAGTGGTGAGGCGCAAGGAATCCAGGAAAGTGGGTGTGCTTATGCTGAGAATTTGATCGACAGAGGCGACCATTGAGGCGGAAAGAACAGGTTCATAGATGAGCCAGAAACGGTTCAAGAAATTGTTCAACCATTCGGCGCTTTCATGCTCGGAGGCCAATCGGGTTTTAACAAGCTCGCGCTGGATATCATCGCGGGCACGGCGGCGTACGCGTGACATGGAGTTGACATAGTACGTGTTACAGATCGCCAAGAGGATGAACAGCCATCCCCATCCGAAGTTGAAGCGCGCCAAAAAATGAGACGCAAAAACGGCCTAAACAGTTGGGTTAGGTAAGGTGAGAAAGAAACAGCGTCAGACATACGAAGAAAATTAGCGCGGCGTTGTGGTACCAGGCACCGTATAACTGTTCGCTCAAGAAAAGTGCAAGGATAGACTTGTCTTTCTCTTCTCCCTCTTCAGGGGGAGGGGCATCTATGTTGGCGACAGCACGCCATCCGACTTTATACCAGTCAGGGACAGCGGGGGCAAGGCCTGAGGGGTATCCCCCTGGCGTCGGCGGAAGCAGAATAGGGTGCTCAAGTTCCTCCTTTGAAGCTTTCTCGGCATCATGAACACTGATTGTTGGTAAGATATGCCCGTTTTCAGCGTCCACTGAAACTTCTGAGCAAAACGCGTGTGTTGGTTAGTTTCCGACAGGAGCATGTATGACAACACACCTCTCGCGTTTATTGGTTCGGTGTCTGTAGCGGCGCGTGGGACGATCGCCTCGAGCCCCTCGCTGGCCGCTGCAGCCTTTGCTTGGGGAGGTGCTTCTGGATTAAACGAGTGGACGGCAGCACCTCTAGAGGCGTCACTGGCGAGCACGTCGTGTAGTTGGTCTGGCGGGTGTGGGTTCTGGTGTTGTACAGCGTCGTCCTGAGGGGTGTTGTCCGGCATGGTGGACGACGGAAGGAAGCGAACAAGGAGGGGAGGGGGGAGCTAGACTATGACTAAAGTAGTGGCAGGAGTAAGTTGGAGCTGAACGTGGAATTGCCATCTTCAAACCGGTTATTACGCTACGTATGCCAACGGAGGAAGAACCCGAAATGCATCCGTCCTCGGCGCAACTTCCATATCCGGTTATCACAGCTCCGCCCATCCGCCCTCCACATCCTCGCCGCCACCGACAACGGCGAGCAGGAAAACGATGACGCTCGCAGCAAGGCGCATCCCCAGCCCCCTGTACAACTGTCCAACACCAGTCCGCCTCAGCCAACTCTGTCCCTCGGCTTCTTCTTCGCGACGCTTCTCCTGCTCAACCATTCTTTTCCTCCGCGGACGCTTTATTGGCAAATCCGATCTCTCTTCCGTCAAGATGTGCCACAATGCATCGACAATACCGTTGTAGGGCACAGGTCTTGTCTCCACGCACGTACGCAGTGGATTCGCTGTCCCGCGCGTCTGAATTTGCAGCCTCCGGCGGACCGTCTCAACTGGCAAGGTCACTAACAGACTCGCACATCCCGCCAGAACCTCCGCGAACGCCCACGCAACCGGGTGCGTGTCCGCCGCAACGTAAGGACCAGGCCACAACCGTGGCGCAATAACGGCGGGTAATGCAACGTGCATAAATGATCGGAGCCCGGTTTCAAGTATGGTCGGTATCAGGAGATGAGGATGCAGGTAAATGCCCCTCAGACCACCCTCGTTGACTACAATGTCAGATAGAGCGTGGAAAGGCCCTGTATACGTCTTGTACCGCGGCATCGATGACTGGGCGATCAGGCGCGTGCGGATGAGATCAAGGGGTGACAATAGAAAGCCAGTCATGACGTGTGAAGCTACTGGTAGCAGCGGGGACGGCCGGTAGAACCCGCCCTGTGACGAAAGCAATAGCGAATGTAAGACGCTGTCGACAAGTGGTTGTAGTTTCGCGAAAGCAACGTCATGAATACATGACGTGAGCAGACCTAAAGAAACGCTGTCAGCAGTCATTCCACGGCTTTCTTTTGTGCGGTCGTTACCTTTCCATAGTGATAGCCATCCTTCACCATGAAAGTTAATGAGCCGTTTAATCATACCCCACGAGGTACTGGCGCTGCCAACAGGAATGATATACTCTGGGCGCGTCCCGTCTTCCATCACAGATGTCCTAATCATGTACCCCCTGTCGTCCACAAGCTTTGGAGCTGGGTGGTGGGTCGGGATAGTACCAGGTTCGACAAAATATGACTCCTCTTCGTTCGTTGCTTCGCTAAGCTACGGGACGTGTCAGCTGGCTGAAGGTCAGAGCAGCATTTAACCCACTGTTTCCACCTCTTCTCCTTCTTCCTCAGGTTCTTGAGTGAGGGCATCCTTTGGGACCCATTGAATCTGGAGAAGTAGCTTTCCAACTTCCAAAGGCATTGCTATTGCAGTACTGCTGTACTGGAGTAAAGCCGAAGCTACCAATGAACGGAAGAGGAGGGAAACGTCAAGCGACGAAGGCCCGCCAACGTCCGAGGGAGAAAGGTCAAATATGGAGTTTGGAGCAGGACGGGCGGTCCATTGATAGGACGTGAATGAAGCGTTGGTGGCAGGTTCTCTCGGGGCGCTTGATGAAAGCGATGGAATGAATGTCCATTGGGTAGACGGAGGGTTATACAAATCACGGAGGGATGGGTTTGAGGCCATCACAATACGAGGGTGTTGTCGATCGGGTTTCCGGATACACACGTCCCTGTCTGACTGCGGCGGGTACTACAAGGACAATCTCTCGGGATGATGGATGTTGGGCTACAACTAGTGTTGTCTTATTACCAGATGCCAATGCTCCACGTGACTCAACTACGGTAGTCACTTGCCGGGCCCTATTCCTTCCCCTCGGTATTAAGTACGAGTCTCAGCGCTTTGCTAGCTATCTCTCTATCGTCTTGGAACGTGAGCTGTTCGACGGCCTTGTTAGCTGTGACGAATTCCGAATGAAAATCTTCGGTCTCCGTCTGTGTCCCTTTGGACTGAGTCTCATCAACCGCTCTGGTCAAGTACCACCAAATGATCTTTGTCCCTTTCGCTTCCCCAAGACTTCTCACCGTCACCGCAAACGGTTCCATCGCGCCCTCCAAGATGTGTGGCTCATTCACCATGTTGGTGTGGGGTAAAGGTGCCCGTGTCGTCATTGTGCATGGGAAGAATTCGCACCTGTAGCCGGTTTCTTCATATGTTTCTCGGAGGGCAGCGTTCTCAACTGATTCCCCACAATCTTTTCGACCTTTGGGCAATACCCACACCCCTTCCCTCGGCGAATGCAGAATACATATTTCCCATTCCCTTTTGTCTGGGACCGCGCGGAAGAGGACGGAACCAGCACAGATGACAAAGTTCTCACTGAAGTGATTGACCAGGGGGTATGGTCTAGACCCTTGCGTTATTGCTAGATGAGTACGAGTATCTTCCATGTTGATAGGCTGGAGTAAATCGCTGCAAGAATGACAGAAAGTCCGCGACGAGTCTGACAAAAAGAAATGCCCGCTGCAAGGTTCGAACTTGCGACCTCAGGATTGCGTAACGATAAAGTTACTCATATTTGCAATATGAGACCTGCGCTCTAACCAACTGAGCCAAGCGGGCCATGTAAATTTTGGGCGTTAAGGCCATGACAAATGCAACACACCGTGAGAAAAGTGGCCTGGAATGCCGCTTCAGCGGGATCGAGTTGAACTGGGCCAATATCACTCGACGCTGTTGCCGGCGTTGACACCGCGCAGGCAGAGTCGTTGCCCCTCCATGCTCAACGCTCGCAAAAGGGAGGCATCTGATCCTCTTCTCCCGACCAGGCAACCCAAGCATCCACGCCTCGAAGAAAGCACTCGGGCCACTCGCGAGCTTGCTACACATTCCGGGCTGACCGCTCGTTGGGCACAACTAGCACGCGAGGTAGTCGAACTCGCCTCAGAGACAATAAAGGCTTGGGGATCGCGTGCATCTCCCTCGAACGGTTTGCCGTACCATTCATCGCGGCTACGGCGTTCACCCTTACCACCACCTCGTCCTCGCCCTCGTCCTCGCCAACTGCATACTGCTCCCCCTTCTGACCTCCCCCCTCCTCGTCCTCCGATATCAAACGAATTTCATCCCCACAAACACCACATTCGAGCGGAACACGCTAGCCCATCTTCCTCCATCCCATCCGATCAATATTCCATGCCTACTCTTCTCAATCCTCCTCGTGGTTCTGGCAGCTCACCACAATCGACATCTACGACTGGTTTCATATCCGTCTCTCAACCAACAGCCTTGCCTCGCCATCAGACAAAGGATGACCTTCTGGCAGATTCCGTACAGCAGTGTCGAAGGGCAGAGGAGATAAATAACATTTTGAGCCAGAGGAAAAGTAAAGAGCATATATATGCTCGAAAGGTGTGCCTTCTCATGTCTGCAGGATACTACCCCTCTAGGCTCACGAGTTCACTCCCGCGCGACGTAGCATAAGGCCCAAGTGAGAGAGGATAGAATGAAAGATAGAGAGGCAGTGATGAAGGAATTGTTCGACCTCAAGCGAGCAAGCGGTACTACACATGCCTTCAAGTGTTGTCTTTGCCTTAATATCATTTTTATCAGGATTCAAGTCGAATTATGAGGACTTCAAATGTAAAGTACTCAGTTCCTTGACGGGCTCAAGTGTTGATCTGTTTGTGCTAGCCTATATAGATTACCAAGCTCGGCTCCAGCATCTGGACGATCGTGACATTCTGTCGCGTACGTATCACAAATTGCCTGTGGCTCGTGGCTCGTGTTCATGTTCCGTTCCAGCATCGGCGTCTCTGACAGACCTGCGCCTGAAGGAAGATACGCTCGGCTTATCACACCGCCATTCGTTTTCCGATGTACGCCGTTTGAGTATACCTGATAGTTGTTATTCCTATCCCGTTTCTAGTATGCAGACGTGCTCTTCTTGGAAAATGCAAAGAAGAAGTTGCTGCGGACACTGGCAAGGTCCGTCATGGCGCTACTGCGCGTTAGCAATGATAAAACTGATTTGTTTTCTCTTGACACTAGTCCACCGACGAAGCCCTTTTCGACCTACGAATGGCTTCGTCAAGAAGCACGCAAGAAGGACGAAGAAATAGAACGGCGTTTTCGTCCTTCTCTTCCCAAGTCGTTGCCTCCGGAAATGGACAGACTGGTCGATGTACTGCTGGCCACGAAAGGTGTCATCTCGAAGGTAGCGCGAGAACAGGTTTGCGACAAAGACCTCTCACGTCTGCTTCCGTGCCAATGGCTGAATGATGAGCTCATCAACTTTTATGGCGCGATGATTCTTGAGCGCTCAGAGGCCTGTAAAGCAAACCCTGGAGCAAATGGAAGAAAGAAACCCTTAAACGTGCATTACTTCAATACCTTCTTTTGGTCCAAGTTGCAGGGTGAGGGTTACGAACGGGCAAGGCTTGCAAAATGGACCAAAAAGGTGTAACCGCTCTTCTGTCTTCCGCATAGTTTTCTAACATTTTATTAGCTTGACATCTTTTCAAAAGATATCATCCTTATTCCCATCAACCACAACAATTCTCATTGGACCGGTGCTGCCATTAATTTTCGTCGGAAACGGATAGAGTCATATGACAGCATGAACCTTGACCGATATCAGGTATTCAAGGTTAGATGCCTTGTTATTGATTTGGAATATTGTATCTGAAGCTCATTTACAGAGTCTTCGTCACTATCTTGACCTCGAACATCAAAACAAGAAGAAGAAACCATTTGATTTTACGAGTTGGGTGAACTATTGCCCAGATGTTAGGATCCCTGTTGTCCGCAGAGACGCGTGAGCTTATTCATTCCATTGATAGGATACCCCGCAACAGGAGAACGGCTACGACTGCGGTGTCTTTACGTGCCAATTCTTGGAGGCATTGTCCCGAGGAGAAGATACATTTATTTTCTCACAGCGAGACATGGCCTACCTCCGGAGACGAATGATTTGGGAGATTGGAAATGCCAAATTTCTTAATGTGCCATAGCATTGCCACTTGTTGCTGAGATTTATTTGTGGTATTCAATGCATTATTTTTCAAGTTATAATAGCAGCGGTGTTGAATTACGATGAGAGCATTAGTCTGAAAAGAACCATCTTAGAGGTAGTCAGAGCTCGCGTCTTCATCGTCGGAACCACCATACAATGATAAAGAACCAAAAGACAAAGACTAGAAAGATGATGTACCACAACCACCGACAACCTTGCCGCTCCGCCATGTTGTTCATTCGTCGGAAAGTCCCTGCAAGGATACCTGACGTCTCCGAAAACGCATCATTCTAGCAGCGAAACGAGCAGCAACTTAGCTGATAAAACTGAGAGGACGGAAATAAACCAGTGTACCATCTGACTGAGCTGAACGGTCGACTCCCGAACTTCGTTCCCAATACCAATCGTTATCTTTGTTAGGTAAACAGATGAGTGCAGACGGACCACGAAGCCGGCGCACGAGACCACGTACGTCTTTCAGCAGCTTGACTTTGGCAGACAAACCCTCAAGCCGTTCATCGTTCTGGCCCTCCAGATCGTCGGTATAACGGTGTCCTGACGGTGCATGAAGTGGCAGTTCAGATGGAGACGAGCGTCCGGAGGCGGGGGGTGTTGGCCCGCTAAGCAGAGCGGAGCGATCACGCAGCGAATTTGGTGTACGGAAACTTGGGGAGACTTCAGTCCATTACAGTTAGCCTGGACAATGTCGGGTCCTTACCGTTGGGACATTGTCAGATCCAGCTGTACGTCTCGAGCGGTGAATGGACAAAGGTCAGGATGTTGGTCCACACTGGCACTTCCACGTATGACTGCACACTTCCGAATTCGATCGAATGGTAACTGGTGTAATACGCACGCCCGGATATAAAGTCCGGCCAAATATCACGCGTGCATGTATATAATACGTATAGTTATAAGTCAAGAAAAATAAAGCTAGAGGGGCACAGTGACCGGACGCAATTCTAGACATGCGGTAAATAGGATGCAGGAGATCGAAATGAATGCAGGCGAAACGTCCACCTTATTGACTCAACAAGATGGCAAACAGCGCGAAATAATACAAGTCCATTTATTCGACAAAGTGCGCTTTTAGTCAATGCTCATCCGGTTGGGATTCGTGCTCATGCGCCCGCCATTGACGTGTTTGGATCCACTTCCGCGGGCATGCGCCTTGTTTCTCGCAACTTGTAGACGCATAATTAATTGTTTAAAGCAAGGGAATGAAAGTCGCCTCTTACTCGAGTCTTTGAGTCCCCTGCCGAAATTCCGCATTACAATTGCCGTAAAAATAATAGTTATAAGCAGGAGAAAAATCGCAATCGCAGCTGTTTAGATATACTCAGTGTGGACATCCAGACGACAAGAAACAAGCTCACAGAATGTAGTAAGCGAATGCCACACTTCAGCGTAGTCCGTGTCGCGATACTTCAGCAATTTGTATGTCTATCGACAAGTCAGCAAGAGGGAAAAAAAAAAGAAAGCCTGCTTGCTTTGTAGACGAAGTACACCAATGCTCCTATACACCCTGACATGAATGTTGCCATCATCCACTTGTTTTCATGGCGTGCTGCCAAGTGACCCTCGATAAGAAGAACGACAGACAAAGGCAGAGCGGCCCAAGTAACGTAGTATTCCCAGTCGGTCTTCGAGAGGACTAGCCAGAGGAACTGCACAGAGAAACCGACCCAAAAGAAGAGATCGAACTTGACGAGACAATGGAAAATTTGATAGCTGGCATACATTTTCTTGATGCGACGATCAGCGCCAAGGAACTTGTATACCTTCCATCCGAACTCGTTGTAAATTCTCCACCCGAGGGCAATGTAAGCTATCTCCGCTACGGAAATAACCACCGGAATGATATTCGTGAGTACGCTAACTGGTATGTGGATAATGCCTTCTGAGGTTGTCGTCGAGTTTTGAATTTCTCCAATTTGTATGATGGCGTATATGAGGAAAAGAAGATTGAACAATCTTGTGATAAAATGTCAGAAAGGTGCGAGGGTCTTCCCAAACAAACTGACATGAGACAGATGAACTGCAGGGTGTTTCGAGCGTACACGGCATCTACGGCGAGGACAAGCTGAAATATACTGTGCTGGATGTCAAAACATGGACAAGGGGTGAATGGAGATGCATACTGTGCTAGTGCGAACACGCTGAGGTAGACAGGCATCTTCAGTTCACTTTCACCGTCTCCAGAATCCTGCAGCCGGACGAGAAGATCAGCCTCAATGGCGAGATCTATCGTCGTCTCGACAAGGACAGTTATCACGAAGAGCCGGCATGCCCAAGAGTCAGGGAGAATCTTGGAGAGACGATAAGTAACATTATGAGAAGAGGTGGATGGTACTCACCTGCTGCCACCATTTCCTGTGCTCGACTAGCTTTTCCCGTGTGATCTTGGGTGGGTAGCTCTGAAGGGGCCCGGGAGGATCTTCTGCTTCATCGTGGAGCTTGCCACTTGGATACGGAGATTTGTGCTCGAGGGAATATGATGGGCCTCGAGATTCAGAGTCATCGATGGGTGTTTGAACTTTGAAGGTCTGATGGTGGGATATCCTCGAGTAGGGCTCTGCATATTGGTCGATAAGGTCGTCGTATGATG